CCTACCCTGGGCCAGGAAGCAGGCAGGGACAAGGTGAGGGACAAAACCAAATGTGTTCACAGGGGTGAGCTCAGGCAGTGCAGAGAGGTCTGGCAGAAGGAATGAGGTCATTTACCACGGAAGTCAGCATTGTGATCATCATAATTCAGGCAATATGATTGCCCTTGTGGTTTTTTCTAATCCCTACAGTTTAGCTGCTATGTGTCTTTTTTTAGAAAAACGTATCCGGATAAGGTAGCATTCCAAAGGGAAGAGTAGATCCCAGAGCCATTCAGTCACTCACTTATTCATTCACTTATCCACTCAGCATCTACTGTGCTCATATTAGACAAAGAGTATAAAAGGAGTGTAAACTGTGGTCTAATAACATGAGAACCACAAGAACTACCACAGACATTTAAAACAAGAAGCAGTTTAGAGGGCCAGAATGGTCCAAAAATGCCTTGTGTAGAGGTGGAACCTAAACTGGAATTTAAAACTAAAGATTATTGAGGAAAGAAGAGAAGAAAAGGCATTTCAGACATAGGAAAACACATAAGCAAAACTTGGATGCAGGGATGTGACTTGAATGTCTGGGAACAGTAAAGAGACCAAGCAAGTTCATGATCATAGAAAAACAGGAAGTAAAGCTGGGTTTGGAGGTGGTCTGCCAGGTAGAGGCGTGTGGGACTTTTTCTGTGGGTAAGTGGAATCTTGGAAAGTTTGATCAGACAGTACAGCACAGCCAGATTCAAGAGGGGAGACAGAGAGAGTGGTGAGAATGCTGTGCAGAGTCCAGGAGAAAGAAGGCGCAGAGGAACGGAGAGGGCTCTGGGAGAACGGTATCACCCATTGCCTATCCATAACATTTTAGACTAGAAAGTCTAAATGGATACCAGAGGCAGTGGTAGTGAAACAGGAGGAGCAGGCCCTGCCTTGTGAGGTGGCAGCACTTTGCAGGACTGCACAGATAAACCCTTCGGGTCCTGCTTGGTGCCAGAGGGCAGCTTGCTCTCCTTTTGACCACAGGTGGCTCTGCAGAGTCACTGTTTTCCTCAAATGCAAGTGCCCAGGTAACTGCCTCACTCTAAGATAAGTCATACATATATCATTAACGAAAATCCTCGCGTTTAGTATATATTGTCTTTTGATGGCTTTGTGATATCATTTTAAGATGGATGATATCATGAAGCTATTCAAAATTAGTAAGAAATTTTCAAATAGTATTTATTTTACCTTTTTCTCTTATTTTTATTTCAATTTTATGTTTTATCATGTATGAAATATATTAGAACATTGGTTTGCAAGGGTGCAATTTTATGAATATGTAAGTATGTATTTGTTGCAGTCAGGAACAGCGAAAATGAGAAACCGAGTCAGAATGACGTTTTTTTTAAGCAGAGGGCTTAGACTTTCTCGGGAGACTAAGCGCCAAGTCAGCGCTCCCCTGAGCTTTTATTAAGTTACAGCAAGCAAAAGACAGGCATGGATTAATGATTATAGGATGAGTTTTTTCATCAAGCTAAACAGTTGCAAGCTAATCACCTCTTAAAGTTTCTCTTATGTTTCGTCAAGTCACCCGGCCACGTGAGTGAGTCTCACGGTGTGCTCCTTATGTGGGTTTGCCTCAGAAAGGATCCGAGAACTGTCTGCAGTCCTGTCACCCTGCTCGTAACTCACACCAGATTCCAAGATGCAGCAGCACCTATTGTTCTTTTCTCTTAGATTAGTTTTGGCTATAGATTAAGCTTAAGCAGGAACTAAATTACAGCAAGGTTAACTGCTGGGGTATCTACACGTATTGTATCTGGAATGCTCACTCATATTTTTTTTAACTTATAAGGGTGTGTGATTAAAAAGCTTGGAGACAGCTAATGTGAAACAACCCTTAGTTCACACCCGCATGAGTTATAACCCATATCTAAAATGTAGAGAACATGAGAAGGCGAGTCTCGTCCCTGAAAAGAACAGAGCCGGGAAGGATTCCCTCCTGAGCTCGGGACAGAGGATTGCCGAGGAGCCTCCAGGCTGAAGCGGGGCCCTCACCAACGGCAACGCCAGGGCCAAAGAGAATGCAGGCCCATCCTCGACCAGGGAGGCACCAGTCTGGGACCAACTGTGACAATCTCTGGTGGGGGAAACATTAGTTTCCACTTGATACAAGTCATTTTTTAAATATGCTTTTCACTTTTCTTGGGAAATTTTTATGAGACACTTAACATTTTTTTTATGATGAAATTGTTCATACATATATCTCATAGTAGAGAGTTTAATGAATCCCTATTTACCCATTGCCTGGATTCAATGAATATCAACAATGTGCTATACTTGCATCATTGAGCTCTTCTTCTTTACCTTTTTGTTTTCATAAATTGCTCACGTAAAGCAAATCCTTGACACCATGTTACCTTGTGCAAATTTTTCCAGATGGGAATAAAATAAAGACAAAGACATTTCTTATATAATAGGATGCATTACCCAAAGAAAATTATCAATAATTCTTTATCATCTGTGTCTGTCTTTTAATATTTCTCTGATTGTCTAAAAAATGTTTTTTTATGACCAGATTTTGTTTTGTATTAGGATCTAAATAGGGACCACACATCTGGTGATAATATATTTTACTCTCCAAATCCCCTCTTTTAAATTGAGGCATAATTTATATATAAGGAAAAGCACAACTCTTAAGTGTACAGTTCAATTAATCTTTGACAAATGTATACCCTTGTGTGACTCATACCCTTATCAAGATATAGAACATTGCTGTTACTCCAGAGAGTTTTCTTAAGTCCCTTCCCAGTCACTTCCTATTCCCTAGAGGCAGGCACTATTCATAGTTTGCCTTTGACTGGCTGTTCTAGCTCATATGAATGTTACTATAGAATATATATATATATATATCCCTTTTGTCTCTGGTTTTTCCTTGCTAGGCTTAATGTTTTGGGGACTCATCCATGTTTTTGCTTCCACTGGTTATATACTACTTATTGTGAAGCATTATTCTATTGTATGGAAAGAACATGATTTGTTTATCTATTCACCTATTGATTAGGTTTCCAGTTTGAGGCTATTATGAATTAAGGTGCTATCAGCATGTTCTTTTAAGTCTTTTTGTGGATGTAAGCTTTCATTTTTCTAGGGCAAATACCTGGAATTGAAGTTGCTGGTTCATAATATGGCAAAATGTATGTAAACATGTATTATAGGAAACTACTGAAGACTTTTCCCAAGTGGTTGTACCAAGTGGGTTTATACTCCCACCAGCAGTGTATGAGAGTTTTGGTTGAATCATATCCTTACCACCATTTTGCATTTTCAGTGTTTTTAACTTTAGCTATTCAAGTGGCTATATAGAGGTTGTCTCTCTTTTAATCGAGGTCAGTTCACATTCTAGTTCTTTTAAAAAAATTTTTGTTTGCTTTGTTTCTTAAATAAATTAAATGAGGAGGTCTGAAAAATGTCCCTGTATTCTGCATTTGGCTGATTTTTTCTTCATGGTATAGTTTAACTTGTTCCTCTATCCCCTGTATTTCCTATAAACTTTTCTGGTGCTTTTTATTCCTTCATGTAGGTCTATTGTTTTATCTTTTAACTTCTGCACAGAAGAGACTCATTTGTCTATTTCTTATAGGGAAGATCTATTGGTGATTAATTAATTCAGCTTTTGCATGCATGAAAGTCTGTATTTTGCTTTTTCCTTTGTCTTTCTTTCAGTACTTTAAAGATGTTTCTCCAGTATCTTCTAGCTTGTATGGTTTCAAACGAGAAATCTGCTATCACCTTTGTCATTGTTCCTCAGTGTGCATCTATGGGCCTGTTTGCTCTGGTTGCATTTCTTTATCACTGGTTTTAAGAAACTTGATTGTGACTTGCCATAGTGTAGTTTTCTTTGTGTTTCTTGTGCTTGAATTATTGAAGTTCTCAGATCTGTGGGTTACATTTTCATCAAATTTTAGAAATTCTCAGCCATTATTACTTCAACTTTTTTTCTGTCCCCTTCCCTACTTTCTCCTTCAGAGATTCCAGTTATACTTATCCTTGGCTACTTCAAGTTGTCCCTCAGTTCACTGATGATCTGTTTGTTTTTAAGTCATTTTCCTTTGTTTCATTTTAGTTTATATTGCTCTATCTGTAAACTCATTAGCCTTTTCTTCTGCAATGGTAAATGTAACCGATCCCATTTAGTATACTTTTCACATTAGACATGATTTTCATCTCTAGAAATTTATTTTTATGTCTACTACATTTCTCTTGCATGATCAATCTTTCCTCTAGTTGGTTGAGCATATGGAATAGTGTTATAGTAACTCTTTTAATGTTCTTAACTACTAATTCCATCATTTGTATCATTTCTGAGTTAGTTTCCATGGACTTATTTTTCTCCTCATTATGGGTTGTGTTTCCTGACCATCAAGATGACTGGTAACATTGGATTGGATGCCAGATATTATTAATTTTACCTTAGGTGGAGGATATTTGTGTGTTCCTAAAAATACTCATGAGCTTTTGTTCTAGGACACAATTACATTACCTGGTAACAGTTTGATTGTTTAAATCTTGCCTTCAAGCTCTTTCAGTGGAACCAGAGCAGCTTCTGGTCAAGGGCTAATTAAGCCTCACTGCTGGGATAAGACCCTCACTACTTGTGTATCCAATGCTCCATGAACCATGTGGTTTTCCATTCTGGCTGAAGGCAGTGAACACTATTGCCAGCCCTGTATGAGCCTTGGACATTGGAGTGGTTCTGATCCTTTTAGTGTTTTTTTCCCTGGTCTCAGTAGTTTTCTCACATAGGTGCTTTGATCAGTACTCAACTGAATACTCAAGGGGGCCTCTCAAGATCTTCCAGGTTCTTTCTCTGTACCTCTTGGTCGTTTTTGACACTTCACCTTGTGAACTCCAGCTTCACTGGCTTCTTCAACACACAGATCCAACCTCTCAACTCAGGGAGGCCTCTGATCTCTGTCTGGGTTCACCCTGCCTGAACTGCAGCTGGTGGCCTTCACCAGGCAGCAATCTGGGCAGTTGTAGAGCTTACTTCATTTGTTTTCATTTCTCAGTGATCACTGATTTTATTGCCTGATAGTTAATGTCCTAAGGCTCATTTTTTCCACATATCTTATCTATTTAAAAAATTTTTCAGACAGGAAGATAAATCTATACCTTATTATACCATATTAGTCAGAAGCATAAGCCTCTGTACAAATTTGTCCTAAGTCAGCTTTATGGGGGAAGCTGCTGAGGTACAGAGAGGTCAAAGGGCAAACCTAAAACCCACTGATGGGGAAAACTGTAAGACAGGACTCCTAACCAGAAAAATGGCCTCATACACTTTCTCCTGGACATTGTGGACTTGGGAATATTTTCACATAGTTCACTCAAGTCTTCTGTCAGGAGAATCTAAAGAAGACATGGAAATAAGGATGTAATGGATGGATGGAACACTAAGGAAGAGAAAGGACAAGAGTAAGTCAAAGGCATAGGCCTCCGGCCTTGGGTCATGCAATTTGTATCGTCTTCCTGTCCTTCCTACTTCCACAGCCTCTGGAAACTTACCTTGACTTCTTTACCTGCTAGCAACACAGTGCCTTAGACCATCTTGGTGTGATCTTTCTATAAAGTCAGTGTTCGACCTGCAGCACAGAACACACGTACAGGAGCCCGTAAAGGTGTGGTTCTCAGACCAGGTTGTGGAATGACTTGCAGGTTGCACTGAGAGGCAAACAGCAATTGCTGAATTAATACTTCATCACCTGAGCCATCTGTTTTCAGCACTGACTGCAAAAATCTTCTTCATATAAATGTTACATGAACAAATCTTGTTCATATGAATCTTCCTAAAACATCTTTTGGATCAAGTCACTCTCTAGTTCAAGATTTTACAGTGGTTCTTGTGCTTATCAAGTAAAGGCTAAGTCATTCTTCTTCACTTTTAAAGTCTGGTTTTCATAGACTAATTTCATAGAAATTAATTTCATAGAAATTAGTAGTTCATATTTTTCACTATGCCCCAAGAGAAGGAAAACAGCAAATTTTATTGAAAACCTACTATATGCAAAACATTGTTTGACATTTACAAGCAAGTTTTAATCTAATTATCCTCATTTTAAAGATTTATAAATTCAGATGAAGCCTCAGAAAGCCTGAGTGACTGGCCTACAGTCACAGGGCCAGCAAGAAAAAGCAAGGATTACAGGAGCCAAGTTCGCTTGATTCCAAAGCTCAGGCTCTTTAATTGTATCTCACAGTTTATGCTCCATACTTTTTTCTTTTAACATATAAATAATAAATAAGTACAGCTCATTATAAAATGTTCAAGAAATTGATTATTAGGTACAGAAACATGCGGAAGTCCCCACTCACCCAGATCCAGCTCTCAGATGCCTCCCACATGCAAACATTGCTAACAAAAATTTGGTGTGAGTCTTTCTAGTTTTATCTTCTCATTTATAAATATGTATGTATAAATACACCTGGGATATTTTTATGTAAATGAAAATGTTCTCAAACTTACTTCTTTTACCTTCTATCTTTTTGTGGTAATATTTCTCTGAAGCATTTATAAATATAACCCAATATATTAAATGCTATGTAGTATTTCATAGTTTGGATGTTTAACCTCTATTTAGCCACCGAGGGGCATTGAGGAATTCCAAATAAGCATGTTTGTAAACATGTTTGGATGTTTTAGGACAGACAGAGGTAAAATGCTGGCAAAAGTTACGTACATTTTCGTGTCTTCAGCAGCACCTGCTAGTACTAGTTAGCCTGTGGTCTGGTTTCACCTTGCTGATTATTAGTGAAGCTGGTTATCTTCTTAAATTTATTCATCGTTTGTACTTGTGCTGGGAGTTGCTTGTTGCTAAGTTAGGCTCATTGGAAAGGGGGGCCGACTTCTTGTCATGTTCTTGTTGGTCTGTAAATCCTCCCTTCTGATTATGGACATCATTCTTTGTCATGTGGGCTCCAGATATCTTATGTTTTTTCCTGTCTCTTAATATTATTTTGATGTCCTTTGTCAAGTGACTTTAAAATTGTAATTGTAAATGTGTAATGAGTTTCATTTAAATTTAAATAAATGTATATTCAAATGTGGTCAAGCTTCTTAATCTTTTTTCTTTATAACATCTAGGTTTTGTGCTTTGCTTGAAAAAAATCCTCCTTCTTTCATCTTAACCACCACCTTTTGCCAAGGTCATGACGTAAAATTTCTTCATTTTTTTCCCTTAATTCTATGTCTCATTAGAATTTATGTTTATGTATGATATTTCAAGGCACTGACTTATTTTTTCCCAAAAATTGAGGGTTCCAGAGCCTCTATTTCTAGGAATGGCAGACTACATAACTTAGACCTACCTTTCTAAGCCATTTGAGGATAACAAAAAGCTCATGGAAAAGGTAAAAAAGAGTCTTCAAAGCACCAAACAACTAACTAATGGATAGAGGAGAATATAATCTCCTAAGTGACTTGCTTACAGAGGAAGGGAAACGGAGTGATAACGTGACATGAGTTACCATTCATTATACACTCTTGAAATTGATTTATTAATACCTTACTTAGGAGTTTTGCATCTTTGTTCAAAGGTGAGATTGGCTTACACCTTCCTTTTTCCAGGCCAGTATTTCCTGCTTTGGGTAGAAGAGTTATGTTAGCCTTAGCCTGAGTTTGGAAACCTTCCTTTTTTTCCCTATCTTTGCAATAGTTTATGAAACAGAAATTTGTGTTTTTGAAAAGTTTGGCAGCTATATTCTTAGAGGATCAGGAACTGTTACCTTTATGATAAAGACCTTCGGGTGTCTTTTTTATTCTTCTATCGGTTTGTACATTTCTTCCTACTCTTCTTTAACCAGTTTGGGTACTGATTTCCTACAAAATTTTCATTTCATATAAATTTTTTCATTTAACATTCTCTCATAATTTAAAAAATTTTATCCACAACTAGAATAATGTCTTCTTTCTCATAGCAGCTTTGATATTCTAGTATCCAATGTGTCAGTGGACCATCTTATGCTGAGTTGATTCTAGCTCTAACACCAAGAAACTTTTAAGGTTTTCCTCACACTTTTAAGATTGTCTATTTTTAGTATTTTACATTTTGCCAAAATGTATAAAAGCAAGAGACTCTCCCCATTCATCCTGCTCACACTTTAATATAAAGATCCTTTTTTTTCCCGTTAAGTTATCTGTGGCTCCCATCCCCACCTTGACTTTAATATTCTCTCTTTTGGGATAGATACAGGAACTTTTAGTCTATCCTTTACACCATTGAAATTTTCTCTCATACTTCCCAAATTTTTGCCATTTGAAGAGTTTTCAGGGAGAATCTTTACTCATTCTCTTTACCTACGTGCATTCATCTCTTTTTTTATGATCACATTTTTTAAAATTTCCATGCTTCCTTGAGGTAATAAGTTCTTGTTTTCTGGATGAAATACCATCTCTTAAACTTTTGAAGATGTTAATTATACTTATTGTGAGGTATTCTTGCTCTGGTAACTCTCTGTCTATGGGTTATTTCCTCTTCTACATATCCTTATTTTTTGTACTTAATTTATTTCAAATGGTTTGTGATTATTTGATTATTAGTAACATTTTCATCTTTCTGTTTGAGACCATTGTTCTATGGAAGCTGCTTCTGTTTGCTGTAACTTGTGTTAGGTGAGAGAGGAGAATGTGGCGACGGGAGGGTATGCCATGGTTTCATTTTTGGTTCTAGGTCTGGGACTCCTTTCCTTCTCAGAGCTAAATAAGTTTCTAGACCAAAAAGTTGGTTGGCAAACATTTTCTGTGCAAGGGCAGATAGTAAATATGTCAGCTTTGTGGGCCGCAAGGACTCTGTCTCCACCATATATCTCTGGGGTTGTAACACAAAAGCAAGTGCGGACACTGTAAACCAGTGAGCATGACTATGTGCCAATAAAACTTTATTTACAAAACTAGGAAGGCTGCTTACATGTTTGTCAGCCCCTGACTTTGACCATTACTTCAAAGGTGGCAGTGATGGGGCTTCTCTTATCCAGGCCTGAATGTGATAGTTGCTGAGAAGCAGTGGCAGGCAATTTTAGCTAGAGAAGCTCCAGCATGGTTGGGCATTGCTTCGAGCTGTGTAACCTACATTTAACTCTACCCTTCTTTCTCCATTTAAGGTAATGTTCCTTAATAAATTTCTTTTCTGCTTACACTACACAGAGTGAATTCTGTTATTCAAAACTTAAAAGTCTTATTTATATACCCTCCTGCTTACATTATAGTAACTCCTCTAAATTTTTGTTCAATAAGGGTGCTTGTTTTCTTATACCAGTATAAATTACTTGGAGCTTTAAAATTGTTTTCTGTCATCTTCTCCAATGTACTTAGTCTGTCTACTTGCTTCACTGTATCTCAGTTGGTTTGGGAGGAGTTTTGAACAGTGAGTGTTCACTTGCTTCACCTGTTGCCTGAGCTTGCAGCTTTGGCTCTTGTAGAATGTGCTCCTCAGCCTCCTCCTAATGCGCAACGTCAAACTCATTCATGTCTGTGATGTGGCTGGTGTTAGTCCCTCACCTGTAAAGTCCAAGCTGTGTACAAAACTCAGCTCAAGTTGTCACTAACTTCATGAAGCCAACTTTGATTTCTCCAGCCTTTATCAATATGCCTATGTTCTAGGTTCTCAACATGGATGATATTATATTAATTAGTCCTGAATTAACCTAATTGTTTAAGGTAGTTAATATAATAACAAGATCTAGCATTTACTGAGCCCTTACTATAGCCTATACATTGCTCAAAACACCTCAAAATATTAGTTCATTTAACCCTTATGACTCCCTGAGTCAGACACCACTATTATCATCCTAATTTTACAGATGAGATAACGGAAGTATCTTCATTAAGAAAATTAAGAAAATTGTCCATGGTCTTTTAGCTCGTAAGAACCATAATCAGGATTCAAATCCAGAAGGTCTGGCTCCAGAGCCTTAGCTTTATTCTCTATACTGTCCCACCTGCTATGTTTTAGTTTTCTTTTCTTATTAAATCATAAATCTTCTTGTTTTTCTCTAGGAACCAACTGAGGGTGATAGATCAGAATGGGTATAATTTGGTTCTTGCCGATTAATTATATCACCATGTGATGGACATGTAGTCACAATGATATTATATCAAAGTTACTTTGACCTACCTGGTTTCTCCAAGCCTAAGAACAAAAAATAGTCACTATCTTCCAGGGAAGTTCCTAAGGTTTACGTGGGGTCCACAGGCATCCAGCAGTTGGTTATTGGTCCCAGGTGAGAGACACACAGTTCAGCTTTGACAATTTCATGTTCTAACTAGTTAGGTCACAATAATCATCAGATTACCCTGTGTCTGCTCATTTTCAAAAGACCAAGACTATGAGTAACTTGAAGCCAGAGAATGTAGCATTCATTTGTATTTCTTTCAACTTGTCATTTTCTCCTGAAAAAATAACACATAGTAAGTATTCAATAAATATTGAAAGAATTGAAAATAATCTCACTTTACCTCAATGACGACAGGAAGATGCCTAGCAGATGGCTTGAAGAACCAGCAAATGCCGTGTGTGGCAGGGTGGCAGCTGCAGACCAGAGGGTTTTGATTCCTGGGGTTGCTGGATGTAATAGGCATCATCTCTAAGCAAACAAATACAGACAGAGGGATTTCTGTCAGGAAACAGGATTGCTCCCATTTGCAGCCATTTCATGCAAGGTTGTTTGACACCTTGTGAATCATAAATACTAGAAACAAAGGACCAGCTCTTCCTTTGCCTTATTTGGGAAGTGATTAAATTCTTTGCTGCTACTCATCACCAGACTGCATTTGTTGGCAAGTTGAGGGGTGTGTGGGGAATAGTGGGGGCCAGGGAGGAGGCTGGGGAAAGGAGTGCACTAGGGAAGGGAGCAGAGCAGAGATTTCTGACAGATTTTGTATTGTCTCTTTCTAAACTGTCTTTTACATTTCTAAATTTGCCTCTTTTTTGTAAATATTTCACTTTAAAGCCACCATGATGTTTCTCCTTTAATTTCTTTTTATCTTGCATTTACTTGGTACATGTTTATTCCTCTTTCTAGTTTTTTCTGTCTCCATTGATTCCTCTTTGCTTTCCCTGAGGTTTTAGAAGGGAAGGACCTGGTGATAGGGGCAGCGGTCCAACAGCGTGGAGTCAGCATAGACACTTCTGGCCTGAGGAACGGAGGACGATGTGTGATTCTTAGCCATTGAGGCCAAGCCTAGACCTTAAGAAGAGTGATTCTTCCAGGCTGCAAAATTAGAAGTTTCATAGGTGCGATTCTGAGCATGGGTTTCTAATAAACATAACTTTGGAATTATCTTCCACATTCAAGAAAAAACATCCACCTTTTTGTCTCATCTAAAGGGAGGTCTTCAGAAGGAGCACAAGCTACCTCATAAAGGCCCAGGTGTGTGCACACATCAGTGAGTCCAGCTGCCCTGAAATCCATAGGGGTGGAATGTTTGCATTGTTTTCAAGATGGAAAACTGCTGTTAATCTTGAACTCTGAGTGAAAAAGAGAAACAGGAAGCCATCGGGAACAAAAAATAACATGCTGAACTCAGAAACTCATACAGGAAAACTCACTGCCTGACTTGCCCTCTGAAAGAAGTTTTCATAGTTACTTGAAGAAAACAAATAGAATCTATTTGTGAAAGATTTACTAAGTCATATATGTTTCCTCACAATGTTTATTGAAAGTCTGAATTTATAGAAGTTCACTCAGGTCAGAGGGTTTGGTAACAAAAAGACATTTCAAATGTCACTTCTTGCTTTCCCTTCTCTTCCATGTTCTTTGTACTCTTTCATTCCAAGATCTATGGTAATGTCTTCTAACATCTCATTTAAGTGTTCCCATAACTAAGAAACACGACATTAACTCATGTCATGTCTGTCAGTTCCAGGGGCTTCTCAGACCTTTTCCATTAGCACAGTGTGGTAGAAAGAACACTGGAGTCTAATACTTAGCCTTCATTTTAGCTCTACCAGGACTGATTTTGAACAAGTCAAGTAATCCTTCTGTTCTACAGCTTTGTTTGTTTTTTTAAAAGACAGGGGTGGACTTCAGAAAATATAAAGTCCCTTTCAAATGATCTTGACCCCAAAGCTCAAGCTTGTTTATTCTTAAATTGTATAACCTTTAGAATATAAACCATGACTGTGGGGTCTCAGTCTTTTTTCTCCCTACTGTGTCCCCAGAACCCAGAACAGTGCCTGGCCCTCAATAACTATTTGTTGAATGAGTGATGAATGAACAGAAGGCACTGGTTCATAAAGAGCTGTGATCCAAGAAGAATTACTATTGAACATGGAGCAGGAAGATTCAGTTTCCTCATCCCCACGGGAAGGGAGCTGAGAATTTAAGACAAGGTTCAGTGGTGAGGGCGAGGAAAGGGCCCTTCACCTAGCCACTAAAAAATATGTGTGGGTGCTGTGGAGACAGAATGAAGAAATAAGTAAGAGGCAAGGTAGGCAAGAAAGAATGCCTCAATTTCAGGGGCCAGATGAGCATCAGATCCAAGCATTGGCATGTACAGTGACATGTATAAATATTGAAAACTGCAGACAGAGGAGAGGCATCAAGCCAATTTACACAAATATGACAGAAAAAGACCTGAGGGTCAAAGTGACTAAGAAAGCAATATGTGTTGTTACTATAAAAGCTATCTTTATGTAGTTACTGGCATTGGTGAGATCTTTTTTAGGGTGATGGATTTTGATTTCTGTATTTTAAATGAAGAAGGAGTCCAAAGGAGTATGAGAAAAGTAGAAAAAGAAATTATTTAGATGAAAGAATATAGCTAAAGAATTCACTATTGCTTTATTTGGAGGAAACTAAGGGATAATGCTTTCAGCATTACTTCCAAATACGGAAAATACGTCTTTTGATTCATCATGAAGAAAAACTTCCTGGTCAGGGAGATAACTTAGGAAATGTGCAAACAGGGAGCAGGGTAAAATATTTTGTATTGTGCATATACTATTTTCAAAAGTAGATAGTCATATGGAAAACAGTCTGGCAGTTCCTCAAATAATTACTGTATGATCCAGCAATTCCACTCCTAGGTATGTACCCAAGAGAAATAGAATATTTGTGGAATATATGCCCACAAAAACTTGTATATGTATGTTCATAGCAGCAATATTCATAATAGTTAAGAAGTAGAAATCAAAGAAACAACCTAAATATCTATCAACTGATGAATGGATCAACAAAACATGGTATATCCACACAACAGAATATACTTCATCAATAAGAAGAAATGAAGTGCCAACACATGTTACAACACGGATCAACCTTGAAAATGTTGTGCAGAGTGAAAAAAGCTAGTCACCTACGGTCACAAATTTTATGATTGAATTTTTATAAAATGTACAGACTAAGCAGATTATGAAAACAGAAAGTAGGTTAGTGGTTGCCTAGTTGGGGAGGCATGGTAAGGGGAATGGAGAGTGACTGCTAATGGGTACTTGATTCTTATTAGAATAGTGAAAAATACTCTAAAATTAGATGGTGGTAATGGTTGCACAACTCTGAATATACCAAAAATCACTGACTTCTATACTTTGAACAGATAAGTTTTGTGGGATATAAATTACATCTCAATAAATGTGTTAAAACTTTTTAAAAGAGCAAATGTTCCTCTGAACTGAGAAGGCCTTAGTGAGCCAGGCAGAGGCAAAGAAGAAACCATATGACCTTCTAACCATCTGTATAATACTGTTATTCTGTGACTTGGATTCGTAAAGATACCAGACTTAAACGTGATCCAAAACTAAATAGATCGGATGTTTAAAAAGGGCGACCAAAACCTCTTCATATAGACCATGAGGGAAGGCGCTGTGCCCTGAATGCATGTGCACACCGGTGCTGCTGAAAACCAGTTAAGACTTCACTTTACTGTCCAGCAGTGGAAAGTCCTATATGTAGAGGCTAAGCCGCATACTTTCTTTCCTAAGTGATTGGCTTTTACTCCAATCAAAGTTCTTCCTACTGCCATGCTTGCAGTCCTCTCCTTAAAGCAGACAAGGTGATCTTTTAAAATGTAAATGAAAACATGCCTTTCTTCCTACTGTGCCCAACATGAAATCCAAATACTCCCCCTCTCCTACAAGTCTCCTGTGAGCTGACCCCTGCTTCCCTCCTCACTCTCACTTCTGTCCACAGGCTCCAGCCACACTGGCCTTTTTCTGGTTTCCTGGGGTACAAAACCTGCTTCCACCTTAGAGTCTCTGCATTCATTAGCTGTGCCCTCGGCCTGGAAGGCTCTCCCTGGTAATCTTATGGGGCTGGATGCCTCCTTCTCCTTACTCAAGTCTCAGCTTCTCATTAGCATATCAACTGCATAAGAACATACTGCTTTATCCTTGGTGCTTATCATATAATGGACATTCGATAGTGTTTGTGGAAAGAATGAATCACTGACCTCTTCCTTTTTAGGATCTATGATATTTACCTCCTGTAACAACCCTACAGGGGCCCCATTTTATAAATGAGGAACTAGAGACATGGCTCGTAAGAAGCTACATGCTATGTAGAGGTGGATTTTGTTCTGGGGAGGATGATTTATTGGGAGGGAGCCTAGTGGTTCTCCTTGTATTTTCTCCTATCCAAGTAGGTTGGCAGGCTCTGCATTTCCTCATCTCAGGGATTGCTGCTGGGTCATTTGAGGGCAGTGGCTCTTCCTGTATTTGTGTATCTTTCCTGTATTTCTTTCAGTTGAAGAGCTGATGCTAGCATCCTGGAGGGGTAAGGGAGGAGGGGAATGCCTTTGAAAGGAACCAGTCTGAAAAGGAAAATTCCAGCAGACTGAGGGTTCCAGCTCCAGAGACCTGGAGCCACAAAGAAGCGGGTCCAGTTCACTGCAATGACCCAGTAGAAAAGCATGTCCCTTCAAAGGGTCCTGGACCTCAGTATGACTCAGATGGCCGCTGCATCCCTGCCCCAGCAGTTTCGGATTACAGGGGTAGAAAGCTGGATATTTAGGGATTACTAGGTTTAGACCATGATGACATCAGTGTGACTGTGATGTATGGTGATAAGAAAGCCATAACCCTTAGCCCTACACTAGGTCCCCTCCCCTATGAGGTAGTAAAAATGAAAATCCTGTTTCCTTGAAAAAGCATCAGAAACCTGGGTAAATATTTGCCCAGGCCAGTATGTCCATTCGGAATCTATTCATACCACCCAAGGCAAGGTAAACTCCTGCTCCAGGCCTGAAGGAGAAAAAGAGGACTGAGGGGCCAGGGCCACCTACGGCGCCGCGCCCTGAGGGAGGACAGACAGCTGGGTATTTTAAATAGGAGGGTAATTTGGTCTTCCTTGCTATTGGGTCAGAGGTGCTAAAGATACATTGTTGCCACTTTCAAAAGTATACCTGGAGGGAGTGGGCAAGTAAGTCGCCCCCGTCCAGTGCAGAGCAGCCCTGGGAGTGCAGTCCGTTTGGCGAGGTTCACTGGGTAACCGACAGGCTTGCCTCAACGGTTTTGTCCTCCTCTGGCGTCTGAGGACGGCCTAGGGAGGCAGCTCCTTCCCCTCGGTCACTAAAGCAGGGGCCATGCTGGCCTCACCCAGGAACGGAGAGAAGTTTTCTACTCACACCACCTGCTCTGTGGAGGAGG